CTTTCGGCTTATTAAAAACCATCGCTCTCACTCGCTTGCTTTCTCACTCTCTACCCTGCCCCCCACCCTTCGTTACTTACACCAACATTTCTTTCATCAGTTCTCATGAGTGGCCAGCCCAAGGCGGATTGGCCTGTTTTCACCAAGGAATAAAAGCCCATTGCAAAAGAGCTACTTAACTGTGACCAGAGTTTCAGAAGTGCTAACAGAACAAAAGAAGCGCTCCAGTCATACAGCCACTTCTCCGTATATTGGTTTGTTCCTGAGACCCGCTTCTGTATAATTAGCAGCCTCTCTTTTTTAATCTGCAGAATGACCTAATGCATCAATACTTCAGATGTTATAAAGAGCATTCATTTGCATCCAGCCATCACAAATGCTATTGCCTCTGTGCCTACAGAGTCTGTTATATTAAAAAAAAAAATCCCTCCAAGCATTTGGTACAAATGAGGCTAAAAATATCCTTTAGTTTTCTTGTATGTCTGAGCAGCATTAATAGGAAGTAAAATTCCTTCCTTTTGCTTTCATTCTCCAGTGTGGCATCTCTAGACAGATCTGCTAATTTACATCTAAACTGCAATAAATTGTTTGCTTCTGAGACACACAGAAGTATTTGTAAATCAAAGGGATAGCATGCATGCAGAAAGATCAAATGACACCACAAACCTACAGCAAAAGAATTAATGAAAAATGTACAATAAAAGGCCAACACTCCCCATCTCTGTTCACTGTGGAGAAGATACAGTGCAGACTGTCATTCTGGAAACTGGCTAAAAAGTGAGGTGTCTTCACTCAAGTAAGTTTGGCAACACCACAGTGTTAATTTCAGCTAATACTGAGGGTGGATACTATGGTGTAACTGCTAGGAAAGCTGGTCGTCCTGCTAAGATGGAAGAGGCATTCATCATCATCATCATATCAAGAAATTTCACACATATTTGCATATTATGTTATACTAGTCAACAGTTGGACAGTGTCATCAAAGCTACCAACGTGAATTTGACCAAACTCTGGGAGGCAGTGGAAGACAGGAGGACCATGGGGTCACGAAGAGTCGGACATGACTTAATGACTAAACAACAACAACAACATACCAGTCAATGGTTTTTATAACTTTGATTGACTATGT